GGACCAATATTTGTATGATAGGGGTCCCAGAAGGAGAAAAAAGAATGGAACAGAAAATTTATTTGAAGGTAACCACAGTCTCATCTTATCCATAAACATAAGTACAATAATTCCAAACAAAATGTTTTAAATGACAAGTTTGGTTTCTTCTAGAAATGTAAGATTGGTTCAACATTAGAAAATGTATTAATGCAATCACCTCATTAACAAATTACAAGAAAAACCCTCATTTCATTAGAGGCAGAAAAGACATTTAATAAAAGTCAACATTCATCGATGATTTTAAAAAATTTCTTTTAAACTTAGCATACCAGAAATAAAAATAGAAGAAAACTTCCCTAACCCAATAAACAATAGGAAAGGCATAAAAATGTCAATCACACATGTTGAAACTTTAAGAGCATTCCTTTAAAATCAAGACACAGATGTCTACTACTATCACTCTATTCAACATTGTTCTAGAGGTCCTATCCTATACATTCTCACACAGAGATACACATATAGGTATAAGAATTGGAAAGAAAGAAATAAAGCTTCTACAAATGATGCAATTGTTTAAGGTGAAAACCCCCTAAAATCTACAAATTATTTTAAATTATAAAAAGTAATCACATTATTTGCACTGACCGGTTTGGCTCAGTGGATAGAGCATTGGCCTGCGGACTGAAGGGTCCCAGGTTCAATTCCGGTCAAGGGCATGTACCTTGGTTGTGGGCACATCCCCAGTGGGGGGTGTGCAGGAGGCAGCTGATGGATGTTTCTCTCTCATCGATGTTTCTAACTCTCTATTCCTCTCCCTTCCTCTCTGTAAAAAATCAATAAAAGAAATTTAAAAAAAAAAGTAATCACATTATTTAATACTAGAAGCCCGGTGCACAAAATTCATGCAAAGGTGTGTGTGTGTGTGTGTGTGTGTGTCCCTCAGCCCAGCCTGCACCCTCTCCAATCTGGGACCCCTCAAGGGATGTCCGACTGCCCGTTTAGGCCCGATCCCAGGACTGCTGGCTCCCAACCACTCGCCTGCCTGCCTGCCTGATTGCCCCTAACCACTTCTGTGTGCCAGCCTGATCACCCCCTAACCACTCCCCTGCCAGGCTGACTGACACCTAACTGCTCCCCTGCTGGCCCGATTACCCCTAAATGCCCTCCCCTGCTGGCCCGGTCACCCCCAAATGCCCTCCCCTACAGGCCTGGTTGCTCCCAACTGCTCACCCCTGCTGGCCCAATTGCCCCTAAATGCCCTCCCCTGCCGGCCTGGTCACCCCCAACTGCCCTCCCCTGTAGGCCTGGTTGCCCCTAACTGCCCTCCCCTGCTGGCCTGGTCCCTCCCAACTGCCCTCCCCTGCAGGCCTGATCCCCCCCAACTGCCCTCCCCTGCAGGCCTTGCCCCTCCCAACTGCCCTTCCCCGAAGACCTGGTCACCCCCAACTGCCCTCCCCTGTCGGTCTGGTCCCTCCCTAACTGCCCTCCTCTGCAGGCCTGGTCCTCCCCTAACTGTCCTCCCCTGCAGGCCTGGTCCCTCCCAACTGCCCTCCCCTGCCGGGCTGGTCCCCCCCCACTGCCCTCCCCTGCAGGTCTGGTCCCTCCCAACTGCCCTCCCCTGCCGGGCTGGTCCCCCCCCACTGCCCTCCCCTGCAGGTCTGGTCCCTCCCAACTGCCCTCCCCTGCCGGGCTGGTCCCCCCCAACTGCCCTCCCCTGCAGGCCATCTTGTGTGTTGGAGTGATGGTCAATTTGCATATTACCCCTTTGTTATATAGGATCAGTTGGATATTAAATTGGATCCCTAACACCCAACATAAACAAGAGACAACCCCACATGGATTAAGTATTTAAAATGAAATAAATATGCATTGCTTCTCTGCAAAATCTTACTTATGATCCTAATGAGACTATTGGAGTGGGACAAGGAGTTAGGTAAGAAAACAGCTCACTTCTCACTCTCCACATCTTACAGAATGTATTAGTTTTCTCTCACTGCCATAACAAATTAACACAAACTGAGCTGCTTAAAACAACACAAGTTTAGCTTGGCCTGTGTGATTTAGTGGTTGAGCATCGATCCATGAACCAAGAGGTCACCAGTTCCATTCCTAGTCAGGGCATATGCCCAGACTGTGGGCTTGATTCCCAGTAGGGGTGTGCAAGAGGCAGCCACTCAATGCTTCTCTCTCATTGACGTTCCCATCTCTCTATCCCTCTCTCTCTAAAATCAATAAAAACATATAAAAAGCAAGCAAACAAAAACCCCACAAGTTTATTATCTTGGGTCTCTAGGTCAGAAGTCTGCCATGAGTCTCACTGGGCTAAACTCAAAGCATCAACGGGGCTGTGTTCTTTTCTGGAGACTCTAGGGGAGAATCTGCTTGCCTGCTCATTCAGGTTGTTGGCAGAATCCAGCTCCATGCATTTGTACAAAATGAAATCCCTGTTTCCTTGCTGGCTGTCAGCTGAGGGCCATTCCCAGCTTGAAGAGGAGGCTGTTGGTATTCTTTGGTTTCAAATTCTTCCTTCATCTTCAATGCTAGCAAGTAAGGTTTTGTCCCTCTTCTGCCACATCTCTAAGTCTTCTGCCTTCCCCTTCCATTTTTATCTCCTCATAACATGGTCCCTCTTACTATGCACCTCTTAATGCACCTCTTACTATGTAATGGGACATGTTCACAGGTTCTGGGATTAGGATGTGGACATCTTTGGGGAATTATTATTCTGCCTAACATGTTGGGAAACAGGTTGTTCCATGTTTGCACCAATACTGTATGTAGCTTGGACATCCTTATATATTGCCTCAGCCCCAGCCCCAGCAAGCAAGGGGGGAAAGGAGACTAGGTAGAAAATATCCCCTAACTTTTTCTCATGTCTTTCTGCTTGCCTTTGCTTAATTATTGAGTTTTCCTTCTCAGGATGTGTGAGGTTGAAGCAGACAGGAAGATAAAGAATTTATAACTAGTTTCCTGACACCAAGCCTAATCCAATAATTGGAACACATGCTTCCCCATGTTCTTGAATCACCCAGAGTTTAGGGAGGATACATAAAGGGGAGAACAGAAAAGAGAAAGGTGGGAGCAAAAATGTCAAGCCATAAAAAACAAAACAAAAACAAAAACAAAACAGCAGCATATTCACTCCTTCCTTAAGAACTCAATTCAAGAAGTTTCCATGCCTGGGTGGTGGTAAACAAGAGGAAGAATCTAACTCATGAGAGTCATTGATTGGATGTCACTATTACTACACAGTGCTAGATGATTCCACAAACCTTTCTTAACTCTTTAAACTAACCTATGTGGTACATGAGTATAGTTGTTAGCCTGCAAATGAGGAACCGTGGGCTCAGAGAGGTGCTCATTTACTGAAGGGAACAAGTGTCAGAGATGGATCTAACCCTAGGTCAGCTGATTGCTCCAGCTCAAGGAAATGTCCTCTCCTTATCTTCTCAAGCAAGAAGGCAACATTAGGTTTGTTATAATCCCCACACTGTACCCTTAAGAATCTTTAAATGACACTCCTGGCAGTGCTATCCTCCTTCCCCCACCTCTTTCTCCCCCATATGTTAAAGCGACTTCCTAACGAAGGTCTTAGAGTTATTTACCTTCTTGTGATCACTACACATTTACTTCTTCTGTGTGCTCATGTTCACCACTGTCCTCACGTTGATGTTGTTTCAGGCTAGCCCTTGGGTGCTGACCATTAGACTATAGGATTGATTTTCTTTCTTTTCTTTATTTTTTTTTTCCAGCAATAAGCTTCAAAGAAACAAAGACAGGTGCTGGAATGTGATCTCTGGATGAGTCTCTGCTGGGTCTTACAGGAGCAAGGACACCCAGGTATCACCATGCAGCCTGTCCCACTGCAGTCTCTACCCCTTCCATGAGTTATGGTTATCAGCAAAAAGCCAGTAAATGACCTTCGCTTTGTTTTTGTGGTAATAATTGATCAATTCTAAAATTTCAGCATAAAATCCCAACTCTGTGCCACAGATACAATTTGCTTCTGCCTGTATCTTCTGCTACATCTCAGGCCACGTGTACTCCTCTGGGTGCTCCAGCCACACTGGCCAAGGCTGGAGCCCTTAAAATGTGACCAGTCGAAATGAGATGTGCCAGAGATATATACACCGGCCTTCTAAGACTTGGTAGGAATAAATGAATTAAAAATATATCACGAACTTTATATTAACTACATGTTGAAATAATACTTAGCCCGTGTTGAGTAACTATTAAAATTAATGTTTCTTTTCACTTTTGTATGTAACATTCCGACAATTTAAAATTACATTCGTGGTTCGTGCTCTACTTCTGCAGGACAGCACTGCTGTCACCTTGCCGTCCATTGCGCCCTTCTCGGGGCTCACACTATCTGGACAGGCAGTGTCCACGTGTTACCTGTCCAGTGTCTTTCTCGCCCGACTAGCATGTAAGACACGAACCGTGCCTGTCTCCTTCGCACCTGGCCCAGGCATTTAGGACACCGCCTGACCACAGTAATACTTAGTAAATATATACTTTTTATGAATGACCTTACTCTTCCTCAGCTGGAGATGGTGAGGTCTGTCTGTTCTCCCCAGAACACGAGGTCTCAAGGCCTTTGGGCTACACGCGCAGCTCAGCGCTGACCATGCGCGCCCGACACTGGGAGGAGAGGTGCAGCCACACTGAACACCTCCTTCTCCGCGGAAAGAACTGCGCGCGCAGAAGAGCCCCTTCCGCCTTGGAGCCCCGCCCCACTGCCAATCACTGCGCACTTCTCCTTCCAGCCACACGGCGGCGTCTCGCGAGCGCGCGGTGGCTGATGGTACAGCCCACCCCACCCCCCCCGCGCCCTGCGAACAGTGGATCCTCCCAGCGGTAGAAAAGCATTGTGGGAAGGCGGCGCGGCCTTTCTGGTCTCTGCGCTCGGGGTGGTGCTAGGCTGCGCCTGCGGCTC